GGCGGCTCATTAGGTATGTAAATGAGGCACAGCGATATTCCATGCTTTGCCTCATTTGCATATTTCTCACACAAGAAGCCGCGAGTGTAGACATAGCCTAAGGAGTCTTTAATTAATAAGCATAAGCAGGGTGTGAATGAGCTTCAGAAAACTTTGTGGGTTGTTTTTGGGTGTGTGGGATCAGTCTAGTCAATTTCCTTTTCTTGGCATTTCTGGGGTTCCATTTAGAAAAGGCTGAAGCTGGGAGCAAAATTCTGCCTTGCTGGAAAATCCAACACCAGATCTTTAGCTCAGACCACAGCTGGGTAACCAACCATGCTAAGAGGGCACAGTCAGGATTGCAGTGCTCTCAGACCAGCCTAGAGCATGCAGAGCCTCGAGCAGGGGGTGAGGGAACTGGCATGAATGAGGAAGCAGCCTTTTCCACTCTTGGGAGAGGCTGGTAACATTGACCCTCAGCAGCAAACCAATCAGTTCCACTCACCACTGAGAAAGGAGCTTAGTTTTAAGGATAGCACTTGGTGTTTCTCCTTTCACCCCTGTTGGGGTGGGCAGAGGTCTCAATGGTGTTTTTAAAAACTGAATTTAGGAAACCAACTTTGATAACAAGCTTAGATTTAGTTTAAATATGTTAACTGTTTAAAAAACAGGAATGAGTGACAGGATATGATTCCCTGTTCTGTTTATTCATTGTGACACGCCTGGCATTGGCCATTGTCAGAAGACAGGATATGGGGTAGCCAGACCTTTGGCCTGACCCAATAGGTCATTCTTATGTTCTTCTAAATCTAGTTGCTGCACTTATTGATGTTACTTTATCCTGTTGTGACAGACTGCTGGCTAAGCCAGAGCTCTGCCACTACAGCCTGGCTGAAAAGGCTAATTACAGCCAGCTGAGCAACCCCAGGCCTAAAGGGCTAAAGAAGCCGCTGTGGGCCTCATTAGCCAGAGGGCTATAAAAGGCAGCCAGTAGGGAAGTGAAAGAGGAGGAGTCAGGATGTGGCAGAGTGTGTAGTAGTGCAAACCAGGAGAGGCTGATTGAATTTGCTGTGAACAAAAGCTCTGTAAATAGAAGGTGGTGGGAAATTGGCACTGACATGGGTAACTGTACCAGAAAGGGTCTCTGGTTGATTTGGGATCCAAGAAGGGGTCTCAAGGCAAGGGGCCTGGGCAAGGACCTTGCCACACTATATTTTACCTGCCACAGAAAGGAAGGTCTTTTAATTAGAAGGGAGTCAAGATCTGTCGCTGTTCAGAATCAACATGCACAGAAGTGTGTTGCTTCATTTCTCATATGCCTGTTTCCTTTCATTTCTTTCTGTTAAAAGTAAACTATTTTGGGAACAACATGACTATAACCCCTCCACTGTCATGTGCTGTGGTCCCAAGATATTAGACAGACAAAGGTGCGGGAGGTAATATTTGTTATTAACTAACTTGTATTGGTGAGAGGTGAGTTTTTCCACTTTGTATATAGCTGTGTCACGCTGGGGCTGTGTCTAGACTAGCCAGTTTTTCCGGAAAATCAGCTGCTTTTCCGAAAAAACTTGCCAGCTGTCTACACTGGCCGCTTGAATTTCCGCAAAAGCACTGACGATCTCATGTAAGATTGTCAGTGTTCTTGCAGAAATACTATGCTGCTCCCGTTCGGGCAAAAGTCCTTTTGTGCAAACTTTTGCACAAAAGGGCCAGTGTAGACAGCCCTGATTTGTTTTCCGCAAAAAAGCCCCAATCGCGAAAATGGTGATCGGGGCTTTTTTGCGGAAAAGCGCGTCTAGATTGGCATGGACACTTTTCCGCAAAAAGTGCTTTTGCAGAAAAGCGTCCGTGCCAATCTAGATGCTCTGTTCTAAAAATGCTTTTAACGGAAAACTTTTCCGTTAAAAGCATTTCCGGAAAATCATGCCAGTCTAGACGTAGCCGCTGTGTTAAGTTTCACAAACCTGAAGGAAAAACTCTGTGTAAGCTCAAAAGCTTATATCAAATAAACTTTTCTTGGTTAGCCACTACTTCCTATATTAATATCCAAAAGCAAACCAATGTAAGGCAGTGCTCCAATATAATTCAGGTTATCACACAGTAAGTCTGGTTAACCAGTGATTAGCTTTATGTTTAATTTCAATTATAACAATAATATATTCAAAGTTAACCTATTTATACCTGTTAGCTTTCTTTTTGGCTCCATTTCCAACAAGCGAGCACTCTATAAAGGTGGACTGCACCTGCACAAGAGCCTTCCTCAGCTATGAGTTCATTTCTTTCTGGTTTTTCTGATATAAGTGTTGATGGAAGGGTCTCAGACTACGCGGGAAGGTTTGCATCATGAGAAAAAGACTCTCCGCTGTTTTAGCACTTTCTAATCTTTCAAAGAAATAGGAGGTAGAGACGAAAGTGGAGCAAATGCATAAAACACAATAAAACCACAAGACAAAAGCATAACTCAGGACGTAACATTTATATTCAGCAGTCTGAAATCAGAGCCTGATGCATTCATTTCCTCATTCATTATTGCCCCTTCAACACCATGGAAATCCTGGGTACCCAATCAGGCTACGGAAGGAATAGCCTCTGAAGGCATCAACTACTTCTCATGTTGCCTCATGGAATTTTGAAGGCCCTTTCGACCAAGCCACGGCATCCTTTGAACTTTAATCAGAGACACTGATCTAGGGAGCAGTGTTCAAAGTAAAAACAGGTCTACCTGAACCGGAGACCACCACAGGTTCCGTCTCGGGGCAAAAGTCAACAACTGGATGTCTGCTATTTCAACCTCATTTTGGGCCCAATCCTTGGCTGTGCTGAGGGTAGATTTACATTTCTCTGCAGCAGCATCCTTTACCAAATCACCCAACATCTGAGCAGTGTTAAGGAGGAATGGCTTCCACAAATAGGCCCCATTTGTTTCTTTAATCTAGTAGCACAGGTCTAAATTAGGGACCAGAAACACACATACATCAGAATCCCTGTAACACTCCAAAGGAGAGGAATTTATTAAAAATAGATACTCTACCCCAGGGGTCTCCAACCCTTTTAAGCATGAGATCACTTTTTGAATGTAAGTGCAATCCAAGATCTACCTCAAACCCACGTCCTTGCCCCACCTCCTTTGTGCCCCTTCTCTGAGGCCCCGCCCCTGCTCACTCCATCCTCCCTCCCGCATCCTCCCTCACTTTCACCAGGCAGGGCCAGCAGGTCGGAGTGCAGATGCGGGTCTTGGATTAAGAGATTTGGAGTGTGAAAGGGACTCTGAGCTGAGTTTGGGGCAGGCAATTGGGATGCCGGAGGAAGATCTAGGTGCAGGCTGTAGGAGGTGGATGGATGCAGGGGTACTTAGGGTTATGGCAGGGGCCTGGGTTGCAGGAGGAGGTTCATGACTGGGGTAGGGGTTTGGGATGTGGGCTCCCGCTGGGCACTGCTTACGTCAGGTGGCTCTTGGGTGGTGGTGCAGTGGGGCTAAGCAGGCTCACCCTTGTCCCAGCCCTGCACCACTCCCAAAAGCAGCCAGCAAACTCCCTCCCAATCCCTGTTGTGCCCCCTCTCTGCTCTGTGGAGATAGGATACAGGGTGTGAGAGGAGGCATCTTGACATCAGCACCCTTCTCTGTCTCCCCTGCCCTGCACAGCAAGCAGGAGGTTCCTGAGGGGACATCTCCAAGGCAAAGAGCAGGAGATGTGCAAGAGTCTGTGGGGGGCAGCTGAAGTGCTGGGCTTGATAGCCTTTTGGCCAAACCAGTCAAGATCTCCTGTCAGAGGCTCCAAGATCTACCAGAAGATCCCAATCTACTGGTTGGTGACCGTTGCGCTACACCTATCCCACATTCAGCACTGATTTCAATTCAATGCACAACTGCAGCATTTACTAGGGGCAAATTCAGAAAAAGTGTCACTTTTAGTCTCTCCACATCAAGCCAGACATAGAGAGTGTTTCCCAGCTCATGGGCCACATGCTTCCAGTTACCTCCATTCATTGTGCAATTTGGGGTATATGGGTGACCACCATTTTGGAGAGGGGACCTAAACACACAATTGGAGCATCCTCTGCTGGGCAGTGAATGGCAAGTGAGCGTCGTCCATTTCATCATGCAGAAGTAAGGAAAGGTGAAAAATAAAAATAAGGAAGGACTCTGAGCAAACTGTCATTTGTCCCAAAGTCCCCGATTAAATGTGAACAACTTCCTGGAGTGCAAAACTAATATTCAATTATGTGACCAAATAGCCATCAGCAGAGAGAGAGACAGAGAGAGGAAAAGCCGCAATACAGAGCAGTGTAAATCACTTGCTCTTTCATACAAAATGAAATTTCTGAACAGGTCACATCTGATGGCTTAGAAGTCAGCAGAGCAGATTCCCCCATCACATTCTTCTCTGATCCATTCAAATGTGCTTCACTCCACAGTGGAAAAAAAACCAATGAGCACAATCACAGTGGGGGAAAAGCTGGAAAAAAAAAACCCCTCAGCTAATAGATGGAAACGGGGATTAGAGCACAGAACGATCCATGCTGTGTTTGGGATTCATCTGGATTCCCTATCCAAGTCTGAGACGCTTTCATCTCCAGCTTTAATGAGTCAGATTTAGGATCAAACTGCTATTATTAAGTTTGGGAGCTGGAAGGTTAGAAGACCAGCCAATAAACTCTACTGGCTGTGTCTAGACCGGCAAGTTTTTCCGCAAAAGCAGCTGCTTTTGCAGAAAAACTTGCCAGCTGTCTACACTGGCTGCTTGAATTTCCGCAAGAACACTGACTTCCTACTGTCTGCAATCAGTGCTTCTTGCGAAAATACTATGCTGCTCCCATTCGGGCAAAAGTCCTTTTTGCGCAAAGCTTTTGAGCAACAGGGTCAGTGTAGACAGCTGAGATTTGTTTTGCGCAAAAAAGCCCCAATCGCGAAAATGGCGATCGGGGCTTTTTTGTGGAAAAGTGCGTCTAGATTGGTATAGATGCTTTTCCGCAAAAAGTGCTTTTGTGGAAAAGCATCCGTGCCAATCTAGACGCTCTCTTCCACAAATGCTTTTAACAGAAAACTTTTCCGTTAAAAACATTTGCGGAAAATCATGCCAGTCTAGACGTAGCCTACTGTGAAACAAACGGACCCCTGCTGGAGTGGGTGGGCATAATGATGGTGATGGGGAAGGAGAGAAGCCCTCCAACTCTTCCCATTTCCTTCTGGCATTGCAGAGGCTGAAATGATACATTTTCTCCATGCCTTCTCCTCCTCTATGTCATATTGCAGGGGTGGCCAAACTGTGGCTTGCAGGCCACAAATGGCTCTTTTGCCATTAAAGTGCAGCTTACAGAGCCTCTCAGCACCTATTCTCTCCCCCCCCCACACACACACACATTCTCCACCTGTTAGACTGAGTGAGAGCTTGGGATCTCCGCTTTGCAGTGTAGTGGTTGGGTAGGGGCTTCACCCCAAGGGATACACCTGACAGGGCTTTGTCTTCAGTAGGAGCAGAGCTCAAGCCCCAGGGAGTGTCAGGCACCTCCTGTGGATGGGGCCATCCTTAGGATTTATGGGGCTGTAGGCAATATTATTAAACTGGTGCCCCTCTGCCTGATGGCAGACGGGGGGAGGGATGATTTTTTAGAGATGTGATTTTATGATCTTCCACAACACACCAATGAAATATTTTAAAAGCAAATATTAAATTAAGATCCTGTTGACTAACACAATACATTCAGAAACTGACAGAATTTACTTGGCGTTGGCAAATATCTGTTAAAAGGCTTCATTACCACTGGAATGGCTCTTTCACAGGTTCAGTGTTCTGTTAATAGCTCTGGCAGGCTTTTTCACTTTTATATTAACTAGATCCTCTCTGGAAGATGCAGAGCCACAGAACAGGGATTGGAAGAGATGCTTGGGTGGGCATTAAGACTCAGGGGTGCCTCACATTTTCAGGTGCTCCATATTGTTGAGTATTCTGCATATGGGTAAGAATGGTCCTGCCTGTGATGATGAAGCCCCAAGCCCTATCTAGTGTGCCCAGATTCTCAAACTTCAACCTGCTGTCCAGCACAACCTGGACCAATATGAGAATAACTGGGGTGATCTCTAACAATTGCTCTGCTAATGAAGTGACAGCATAAATGTGATGCTCAGGGCTTGTTTAGACCACAAACATTTTTGTTGATTAGGACAGGTCTAAGGGGAATGTGCTAGGTAACCCTAACCACTATCCCCGGACTGCACCAGCACTGCAAATATTTCTGTGTGTTTCCATCAGGATAGCAATCTTGAGTAGGCCAATTCCATGGAAAATACTAGAGGAGACAAAGTCCAGGTCAATTTTCATTCAGTAGAGCTACCAGAGGTCACTCAATTTCCCGCACAAGGAGCTAATGGACTCTCCCTGTAGTAGGGAAACACACTCCCATAACTCACAGGAGAAAAGAGTTGGTAGAAAGCACCCTGGGATTCACTATAGAGAAGGGTGACCTGCAAAAATAAAAGCAGGCAACTCACCTGGGGGAGCTCACAGACAACAGTGATGCACAGTGTCTAAACAGCCTTAAAAAGTCACTATGTGGAAAGACAAATGTCTTTAAAATAGTATGTCCTCTGCACTGTGCAAAATTATTATGGAGTTTATTTATCTTGTGAAATCGCTGATGTCTATTAAGGTGTGAACACTGGATGACTCTTTTCCCACATTCACAGAATTCATAGGGTGCTCCCCTGTGTGGATCTTCTGATGTTTAAAAAGAGCTGAGTTGTGAGGGAATGTTTGCCCACATTCACAACATATATAGGGTCGCTCTCCTGTGTGCATCCTTTGATGATTAACAAGGCCTGCACTCTGAGTGAACGTTTTCCCGCACTCACCACATTCATAGGGTCGCTCTCCTGTGTGCATCCTTTGATGATTAACAAGGCCTGCACTCTGAGTGAACGTTTTCCCGCACTCACCACATTCATAGGGTCGCTCTCCTGTGTGCATCCTTTGATGATTAACAAGGCCTGCACTCTGAGTGAACGTTTTCCCGCACTCACCACATTCATAGGGTCGCTCTCCTGTGTGCATCCTTTGATGATTAACAAGGCCTGCACTCTGAGTGAACGTTTTCCCGCACTCACCACATTCATAGGGTCGCTCTCCTGTGTGCATCCTTTGATGATTAACAAGGCCTGCACTCTGAGTGAACGTTTTCCCGCACTCACCACATTCATAGGGTCGCTCTCCTGTGTGCATCCTTTGATGATTAACAAGGCCTGCACTCTGAGTGAACGTTTTCCCGCACTCACCACATTCATAGGGTCGCTCTCCTGTGTGCATCCTTTGATGATTAACAAGGCCTGCACTCTGAGTGAACGTTTTCCCGCACTCACCACATTCATAGGGTCGCTCTCCTGTGTGCATCCTTTGATGATTAACAAGGCCTGCACTCTGAGTGAACGTTTTCCCGCACTCACCACATTCATAGGGTCGCTCTCCTGTGTGCATCCTTTGATGATTAACAAGGCCTGCACTCTGAGTGAACGTTTTCCCGCACTCACCACATTCATAGGGTCGCTCTCCTGTGTGGATTCGCTGATGAATAATAAGTCCTGAGCTCCAAGTGAACTGTTTCCCGCACTCACAGCATTCATAAGGGCGCTCTCCTGTGTGAATTCTCTGATGTTTATTAAGGTCTGATTTGAAAGTGAAGCTTTTCCTGCACTCACAGCATTCATAGGGTCTCTCCCCTGTGTGGATCTTCTGATGTCTAATAAGGGTTGAACTCTGAGTGAATCTTTTCCCGCATTCACAGCATTCATAGGGTCTTTCCCCTGTGTGGCTTGTCTGATGTTTAATGAGTTTTGATTTCTCACTGAACTGTTTCCCGCACTCACAGCACTCATAGGGGCGCTCTCCTGTATGGATCCTTTGATGTTTGAAAAGGGCTGAGCCCTGAGGGAACGTTTTCCCACACTCAGAGCATGTATAGGGTCGCTCTCCTGTATGCATCCTCTGATGATTAACAAAGCCTGCGCTTTGAGTGAATGTTTTCCCACACTCACCACATTCATAGGGTCGCTCTCCTGTGTGCATTCTTTGATGACTAATAAGGCCTGAGCAGCGAGTGAACTTTTTCTCACACTCACAGCATTCATAGGGTCGCTCTCCAGTGTGGATTCTCTGATGATTAATAAGCCCCGAGCTCCAAGTAAACTGTTTTCCGCACTCACAACATTCATAAGGACGCTCTCCTGTGTGAATTCTCTTATGTTTATTAAGGTCAGATTTGAAAGTGAAGCTTTTCCCGCACTCTCTGCATTCATAAGGTCTCTCTCCTGTGTGGATCCTCTGATGTCTAATAAGGGATGAGCTGTGAGTGAAGCTTTTCCCGCACTCGCAGCACTGACAGGGTCTCTCTTTTGTGTGGTTTGTCTGATGTTTAATAAGGCTCGATTTCTGACTGAACTGTTTCCCGCACTCACAGCACTCATAGGGCCTTTCTCCTGAGTGGCTTGTCTGATGTTTAATAAGTGTTGATTTCTCAATGAACTGTTTCCCACACTCAGCACATTCGTAGGGGCGCTCTCCCGTGTGGATCTTCTGATGTTTAAAAAGAATTGAGCTCTGAGGGAAAGTCTGCCCACACTCACAGCACTCATAGGGTCGCTCTCCTGTGTGGATTCTCTGATGATTAATAAGGACTGAGCTCCGAGTGAACTTTTTCCCACACTCGTGGCATTCATATGGTCTCTCTCCTGTGTGGATCCTCTGATGTCTGATAAGGGTTGAGCTCCGAGTGAAGCTTTTCCCACACTCACAGCACTCATAGGGTCGCTCTCTTGTGTGGCTTGTCTGATGCTTAAGAAGCTGTGTTTTCTCAATGAACTGTTTCCCACACTCACTGCATTTGTAGGGGCGCTTTCCTGTGTGGATCCTTTGATGTCTAATAAGGGTGGAGGTCAGAGTGAAGTTTTTCCCACACTCAGTGCATGTGTTTTTTGCCTCTCCTGTAGCTATTCTCTGCTGGGCTGCAGTTTCCTTGATGTCCTGGTCAGTTCCCTGACAGTTAAAGGATTTTCCCACTTCCTCACTGGGCTGGTTTCCCTGCTCCCTTTCTGGCCTGTGCTGATTCTCACAGGCTTCCCCTTTCACACAAGACCTGGACGCATTCCCTTTGGAGTCTTGCGCTAACTCCCCGTGTGGTTCCACTCGCTCAGCGTCTTCCTGTTGAGGGTTCAGCTCCTGGTTCTCACTCCCCATCCCAGCACCTGCTGGGACAAAGACAGAAACCTCAGAAACAGGCAGGAACAGGGAGAACAAAATTAGAGTTGGAGCAACAGAAGCCCTAGTAGGGGAGAAAGGAGGGGACTCATTGTCACCACATCTCATCAGGGCAGGACAATGAACAGGTCTCCATCCCCCTCCCTTGGCCAAAGCCATAAGCCACCCTTCCCCTCACCTGGAGAAACCTCAAGTGCCACCCTTTAATCAGAGGGACCCCAGTTGGTTGCAGTTCCATCCCTCACCTACCTGGAGGTGCCCCCTCCCACCCTCCATCCCCTTTCTGCCCCCTAGATCTGCCCCTCACAAATCCTGTGCCCAACTTTGCTCCTTCTCCTCTCTGCTCCCCCAGCCACCCCCATTCAGCTCTATCCCTAACCCTCCAGCCCAGCCCTGCCCCTCAGCAGCCCTGTGCCCAGCTCAGCTTCTACCTCTCTCTGACCCCCAACACTCCCTCAGCCCAGCTCTGTCCCTCTGTGGCTCTGTGCCCCCCACTCAGCTCCTTTCTCCCGGCCAATCTCTGCCCTCCACCCCTTCGCTCTTTTCTCGTCTCAGCTGGGTTCCTCTGCCCCCCTCCCTGTAGTCCCATGCCTATCTCTACCCCAGAGTTTGGCTCCCGCCATCTCTTCCCAGCCTAGCTCTCCCTCCCCGCTTACTCACATGGCAAATGCTCACAGCCAGACTGGCTCCTCCCCCTTGCTCTGCCTTCCCAGCACAGCTGGGAGGTGCTGTCCCGACTTGCCCTCGGGCCACCCAGGGCCCTTCCTGCACTAGCACTCTGTGGTAGGTGCATTCCCTGCCCAGAGCTACTCTTCAGTGCACAGTGGGCGTCAGAACTTGGGAGCATGCATCTAAGAGCCCTGCAGCCCACGTGGGCAATGTAAAAGGACCTGGGTCTCCCAGCCCCTGCTATTTCAGTGGCAGACAGAGGACCCTGGACCCTTTTTAATTGCCTAGCCCTATGGCCATCGGCAGGCCTGCGCAGGGAGCTTCTGCCAGGTGTCAACTAGGATGGGTAGGAAAGCCAGGAGTGACAGCTGCCCTGAGGCTACAAGTCTTTGTAGCCTATGCTTTTCTATATTTAATTTGTAGCCTATGCTTTTTACACTTTTCTACATATATATTTTTTTCACTATAATCTAGCAGGA